GGAGAGACATGTGGTCTACAATCAGCGCACCCACCGCCAGATTTATTCCCCACATTTTCTCTTCTCCTGGGATTTTACTTGAAATGAAAAACACCAAATAAATTTGGGATCCAGTTAACGGTGAAATTCTTTCTTTGCTTAGGACCTAGACCTTCTAGTGCCTTTTTAATAATTTCTCTCGTTTTCCCTTTCTCCTTTGCATACCTTGCAGTTTTCTGGAAATTTGTGGCGCATAGAAGCTGAATGCTGCTCCCCCGTGCTCGGTTCTGGTTGTGGGGACGCTCTCGGCTTGAATCGCTCCCATCCAAAGTTTCTCAATTGCAACATGTTTCCCTATTTTGACGGTGCGAAGATTTTGTGTCAGTTGAAATGGCGACTCTTTGATTTTTTTTCCTTTTGCTCGTTTTGGGAGGCAAAACAGGGAAACTAACTGCTCCATGCATGCAGTCCAGTAATCATTCACGATTCACCATCAGGTTCTGCAGTGTCAGCTCGTCTCGGCCAAAACCGAGTCAGCTTGCTGAGACGTGCTCGTCAATTTGAACCTTGAATGAGTTTGAAACAAAAGCAAGACTCAAACTAACTCATCATGGCTGGATGCTCTCAGAACTGATGTGTTTTTGTTTATTTTTGTTGTTTGTTTGTTTTTTAAACCTGAATACAGGTTGTAAACTGAGTATTTGACAGATGTGTGTGAAGCAGTAGTAACATCTGGAAGTGGGGAATGTCATCTGAGTGTAATAATGATGCCTCTAGTGGATAAAACTGCAGATCTAAGCCCCTCTAATGGACTCGCTCTAACAGTTACAGGAAGGTGAGCATTTAAGGAATAAAATGTCTTTCTTCCTTTAATAACCAGTCTCATTTTGCATGCAAATCTTCCCATTGTCCTTTTACTGGCAGACAGTAGTAAATCGATTGACCTGGCCCCTCTCCTCTCTCTCTTACCTTCTTTTAGTGGCTGTAAAAGAAAAGAATCGATGGGGGAAATGTCCTGAAACAGTCGATGGAGAAGCCATCTGGCCCCCGGTCGTCCTCGGAGGAGAGGGGGGGTCGGGGGGGAGCCTCGTCTCCGTTCCCCCGGAGACGAGGAGGAAGTGGCCTCCACGCCGTGTGGCTGTTGCATAAGGCAGAGGCAGGTGGAGGCGTTTTTCCGGGCTTATTTTTAGGCCTGCTCCTTGATTTGACTTGGGCGCAGCGGAAATAACGACTTTACGGCCCTCTGGTTACCATGGCGGTGACTGGTAAGGCGCTCGTCTTCAAACATCTCGCCTATTTTGATGAAAACTTTTGACGCCTAATGCTCTTTGTTTACTTGTCGATACAGACGCTGGGTTTTTTTCTCCAGTTGAATTTGGGTTTCAAATCTGTGGCCTTTAATTATCCTTAGTTGTTCCTCTAATAATCAACACTTGCAAAGGCAGCGGCATTTGCATTCAGTGCAAATGCGTTAAACCGAACAAAAAGGAAATTAAGCCAGAAGAAAAATGAATAATAATCAGTTTTGGACAAAAAAAAAAAAATATCCCCACTCTTTGAACATTTACACGCTGTCAAACTGCAAACCTAGACTAATTAGTGTATTATCCAACAGATACCGCATAAGAAAAGGCAGTACATGCATGTATAGGAAAGGAAGCAGGAGAAAAATAAAAGGTTGTGCTGTACATTTTGTATTCAGCCCTCTAGTCAATAGTTCACCTTTTTGCTGTAGTGCAGCTGCAAGACTTTAGTTGTATATTTCTTATCAGAATTGCAGATGTAGGCATTGAAATTGGGTTTTCATTTTCATTTTAAATGTACTTATTTTTATCTATTTCAAATAGCATGACAGTATGAAATAACACACATGAAAAGGCAATGCAAATGACACATATATTTTTGTGCTATAATATCAAAATGCTTGAAAAACTATCGGACTCTTGTTTGCTTGTCTGACGAATGCTCTTCTTGCTCAACATGTCGTATTGTGTTTTGGCACATTTGCAGTGGAGCCATAAACTTTCCATTTGTAGATGACTATTTGAATGGTTGCTTGGAAAGTGTCCAAACCCATTCACAGTATTTCATATCATAACAACACTGACCTACTCTCTGCGTTCCCTGATGTTCTTTAGCAAACCTTCGCAGAACGGCTGCATATATCTAGAAATGGATGGAGACTGTTTGGTAGCTCATCGACCTCCGAAGGCAATTTGTTGCACTGGACTGAATTTATGACAGGCTGCTTGATGGGAATTTGGTAGCACTACTGTTGCCTTGCAGCAAGAGGGTTCTAGGTTTGAATCCCAGCCTGAGGTGAATGTGTGCAGAGTTCGGCTCTTCTCCCTGTGTATGCGTTGATTCTGTCTGCGTACTCCGGTTTCCTCCCACAGTCCAAAAATGTGAAACAACCAGTTTCTCCGAATTACCCGTTGGTTTAAGTGTACTGGTTGTTTTTGTCTGTGTTGCCCTGTGAGTGGGAACCTGTTCAGGTTGTACCCCACCTTGACTGCTGGGCCAGACTTTAGAAAGGGCTTCTTCTTCTTCTTTTTTTTTTTTTTTTTTTACATAAATGCATGTTTTGCAAATATTGTACTATGTTTAAAAAATATTGTCCCAAAGCAGTTGAGTTCTGCGTTTTTGATTTTTCTAAATATAAACACTACTCAAGTATTTGAAAATGATTAAATTAAAAATCTAATTTCATAGGAAGAAAGTGGAGCCACAGTCCAGTGAACGCATTAGTTCATATCCGCTGACGTACAGATATACCTATGAATGCACTTTGAGTTGCATTAGTTTAACAAATGTACTTTTGGGGATTGGGCACCAAACCTGGCTGTGGCTCTGGGCCCCACATCCTTCTAAATCCGGCCCTACTGGCAGACTGTCTTAGAATATATTTATATAAAATTTGCACAATTTACGGCTGCCTAACACCTGAACCTGGGACCACACCTCCAGCTAATCTGAACTGTATCAAATTATGAAAGGAAATTTCTACGTAGCTTGAGATATAAGACGATTTGAATTGTTGGGCCAAATGTGGATCTGATGTCTGACATTGGATCTGATGTCTGACATTTGAGAGACGTTTCCACACGAAGCGCTTGTTGCTCCGGGAAAAGAGTTTTGCATAAATGTATGCAAGAAATTCAAGAATAAAATTTAAAGTCAAGGTTCTTAAAATTAGCAATTGGTTTCAGTAAATTACTAAAAGTTGTATTAATTACCCATTATCTCCTTGCTTGCTTGATGAAGTCTCAATGTAAGATTTTAGTGGCTGAATGTAGTGAAACCATTTGAAAACATTTTTTTAAGCAAATTTGTAAAGTACATTGGTAAATTATGCGTGCTTTTTAAAAACAAAACATTTTGACAGTTTTTTTTCCAAATCAAAACTTAATAATGTGTGTATTTTTGCAAAATCACATTTTTGCTGTAGGGTATATCTCCATCTATAGCCAGATTGTTTCTCCATTATTCTTTGGACTAAACTCAGACTGGATGGGACGTTCGGGTCTCAATGTGATTTTTGTCTGAACTTTGACTATGAATGTTTTTTGTTCTGAACCTGCAGGTCAGACTGTTTGCTAAAGAAGCTCAGATATCTTGCTACTCCTTCTTAGCGGCGATGGTGGAATGAAGAGTTGACCGCTGTCCCGTTGTGGAAGGTGAAAGGCCTCGGTAGTGCAGCTATTGTCATATCCGTTTCTACCATGAATTAATAAATTGAACTCTGCGCGATGTTTAAAAAATTCGGGCTTTTACTTTATGACTTAACTCCATTTTAAACCTCTCTGTGACCCGCCTGCTTGCGTTTTGCGACGCCGGTCACTCTCTGACCATCAGATCTAAGAGAATGATAACCTTAGAGGTTCCCTAACAAAACAAATGTATTGATACTGAGATCTGGCTGCACACAGGTGAGCTCTAATTTCATTACCAAGTGATTTCTGAATTGGTTGCGCCTTAACTTTACGGGTGTCAGAGTAAAGGGGGTGATGGAGCATTTCTCTCAGATCTCTGATGGTGAGAATCGCCCTGAAAACTGCGTGTCGTTTTTCAACATGACTTCGTCTTCGTTGTAGCAAACAAGTTAAAAATAAAGGCGCGTTTCAGCTTTCGCAGGGCGTCGTGTAAACGTCTTAAATTACACGACGGCTAACTTGCACTCTTACTTAACTTGTAAGTTAAAAAAAAAAATCATTGATTGAAGGAAATTTAAGCTCCCAAGTATTTTAAGCATTCAAACTGCACTTTTTGCTCTATTTATTATCCAAACTGTCACGTTTGGATATCCCATCTCATGTCATCTGGTAGCTGGAAAGCAGAAGTGATGAAACGGAGAGTCAACACTTCCAGTGATGTGTGTGTTCATAGAGTCGGGGAAGAGAAATGAATAGTTCTACAACTAAACAAAACAAAACGTGCTTTTGTTGCATTTTTTTATTTCCACTCTCAACAACAAAAAGAAAAACCTCTCGTCAGCTGAGCAGGAGGGCGGACTGAGCCGAGCTCTTCCTCCCACGGAGTCGCTGCTCTCCACGCAGGACGTAAACCACAGGAAAACCACACGAGGGATCTGAGCTGAGGCGCTCGCGCCTCCCGAAACAACAACGCAGCACCTTTTCTTCTTCTTTTACACCGCCGATTCTTCTTCTTCTCCTCCTGACTCTCACCTCCGTCTTTCCGCTGAATCACACTTTCGCCGCAGCTGCCGACTTCCCGCTTCTCGCCTCTTCGCCCGTGCAGCCTGTTGTGACTGAGAGAGGAATGCTGCTGCTTTTATATAGGCCTCTAAAAATAACTCACCCCCTTCGCTGCCATCTACAGCGAGACCGACGTGCCCACGCAGCCAATGGCGCGGCTGCGTCCCTCGAAGCGCCGCCCACCGCCTCTGTTTCAGCTCCTCCTTAATTGGACGGGAGTGACATCATCAACCCTATTTGCCTTATAAGGTCACGCGTGAAATTGAGTGACAGGGTGGCTCCTCCCCATGAACTCCCGTCCGCTTCTCCGCGCCGGGGTACAGTCTGCTGCTGGAGGAGCAAACCTGGCAACCTGGCAGCTTTCGGACGGAGCCCGATCGGCAATCTGGCAATGCGGAAATAGATCTGGCACCCCCGGATTGAGGAGAGAAGGCGTGACAGAGCGAGCTGGAGGAGTAGAGAGAGAGAGAGAGAGAGAGAGCTGGGATTGCGCTGACAAAGATCAAATAACACACACTTTCTACCCACGTTGCCGTTTCTCGATTTTTTTTTTTTTATTAAAGTGCTCAGGTGCGCGCTCGTCCGCACCAGCTCGCGCTTTTCCTCCAGCTTTTTGTGGTTTGTTTTGTCCACGCTGAGACAGAAAGAGGGGGGGAAAAAAGAAGAGAAAAGAAGAAGTGCGTTTTTAATCGCCTCTATTCCGGACTTCTTTACTTTGACTTCTTTTTTTTTTTTTTTTTTTAACCCTTTCCCCCTTTTCCCTTCCTCGTCAACCATGGATGTTTTGGCGAATTACAGTATTTTCCAGGAACTCCAACTCGTCCATGACACTGGTTATTTCTCGGCGATGCCTTCCCTGGAGGAGAACTGGCAGCAGGTCAGAGATGATGCGCTTTTTATTTCTTCTTCTTCACCCGTCTCTTTTTAAAACATTCACAAACTGAAATAAATGTCCTGAGTGCGCAAGTTTGATGTTTTCTGTGCGGGTTTAAAAAGTGGTTGTTGTTTTTTGGGGTTTTTTTGCATTAGGAGGGGAGTCGCTGCTGAGCCCCGTGTTAGTTGCGTCTTTTTTTTTTTTTTTCCCCTTCTCTCACTCACATGGAGCACCGCGAGGTCCGCTGACAGGAGAAAAACACGCACACAGAGGGGAAAGGGAAGGGGGAGGATACATCCATGCGCACCAGTGGCACAGACTGGCAACGTTTAGAGAGGAGAAAAGTGCGCGTAAACACTCTGCGCGGTGTTTACGCGCACTCCAGAAACAGGAACGTGTCCGTGGTCCTCCGGCGCAGCGACCCTTGGTTTAATTAATCTTCCCTGATTATCAGTGTAAAAGCGGGAGCATGACGCGTTTCACGTGCCCGGACTGGATGCGCAAAACTCCAGAATCCGATTTTTTCCTTTTTGTTTTTTTTACAGAAACTGTCATTTTTAATTCCGCTTAAAAGATTCCCACGTGCATTTAGATCCGGGCTTTGACTAGGTCATTTTAATAAATGAATGTGATTTGATGGACTGTGGGGTCCCATCAACAGCTTTCCCAGTCCGTTAGGCTACGTAAGCGTTCCCACAGCATCATTCTTCCGCCACCGTGTATCACCATGGGGACGGTGTGTTCGTTGTGATGCGCAGCGCTGGTTTTCCTCCTCACAGAACCTTTTTGGATCTTGGCCATGAAGTTCAGGTTTGGTCTCATCTGATTAGACTGCCTTCATCCTGATGCTAGCTGCATCCAGCAAATTGAGCTCCTTGCTGGATCCTGATCCAGTGAGCCAGTGGGTCACTGGATCGTCCTGGATTCGGTTCGTCCTCCTTCCCGCTCCCATCCATTTCCCTCCGCAGCATGATGCTGCCACTCCCGTGTGCCATGCTGGGAGGGTGTGATCAGAGTTGATGCTCCCGTCGACTCTGATCAGAGTCGGAGGAAACGGCTGAACTAAAAAGCTGGAAGCGGCAGCATCTGGTGACTGGCCACGTTGGTTGCTTTGCGATTTTTGTCATCACTTTAAAAAATATATATATATTTTTTAACAAGCTGTAGCTTATTGAGTAAAAGTGGCAGCGAAAGCGAAGCGATTCTGCGTTCTTGGTTCCATGCTGATGATGGGGGCTGCTGGGGAAATGAGCGCGTTTTCCTCCTGGAGGCTGATGCTGCTCTTTGTGTGACTGATGTGATCAATAGGAGAGTCTGTCAGCCTGGTATGTTTGGGATTATCCTCCGAGACACAAAACACACAAGCTGTAGGAGACGGACACGTGCCTAATAGGAATTGACTTTTTCTTAAATAATACATCCACACCTGCCACTGTTTGTTTGCAGATAATGCTGCTGAATAATGCATGTCAGCCGCCACGACATTCAGCTGACAGGGCAAGTTAGGCTGCAGACTGCTTTATAACCTGCTATTTAGGCACTCGAACCTCCTGCCACTGTGTTTCATGTCGAATTGTTTACCCGCTTGATTGGGACCTCATTTTATTTCAAACGCTTAGTTTTTGTTAACTTGAGACAGATCATGTGAAGCCATGTGAATACAACATCTCTCCTGGGCCTGTGTGTAGCATCCCATCTCCTCTGGATTGTCAGTGTGTGTGTGTGTGTGTGTGTGTGTGTGTGTGTGTGTGTGTGTGTGTGTGTGTGTGTGTGTGTGTGTGTGTGTGTGGGTGTGTGTGTGTTTATGAAACATGCACATGGAAATTGTTGCAGTGTTGGATGAAGCAGAAACTACATGCTTCCTCTCACACACCAATTAAGTGCTGCTTCATCCTGGATTCAGTGCAAACGTCTCACTTTGCTACCCTTTATTTGTGTTAATTGTTTAGTGTAAACAATAATTTCAGGTGTAATAAAAAAATTTTTTTTAAATCTAAATGAACTGGTTTACTTTCAGTTTGGAGTCTTGTGCTACAGATACTGAACGCATATCTTCAAAAATTTCACGTGCATATTGCTGAACTACTTCATGACCAACTAGTGATGCAATAGATTTCATAATGCCCTCCATGCTTTTCTAGGTTGATTAATGATTAATCCCACAGCAGTTGCTATGGCAACACTAACAAATAGCTGCACATCCTGTTTGAGAGCCATCTGGTTGGCCGTGTTTTCAATCAGGCAAACAAAACGGAAACTAAGTATTCCTCATCGTATATGTCCATTTTCCATCGGTGGCAGGATCGGTCCATGACAGGACAGGAGACACGGGACAGACGACCAGGCGCACACACATACACACCATTTGTATGTGTTCATCCACTACAGCGAACAAATAGGTGGATGAAAAGTACACAAAAAGACTTTAAGCATGATTAGAAAAAAATATGAAAGCTCCTCAATCTAGGGCTTTAAACATGTTGGACATATTCGATTTTTTCACCGGGACAACATGATTGAGGATTTCGAATCTGGTAAAATAAGAATTACATTTGCATTAATGACTTGTTTGAAGGGGAGATCCTGAAATCATTTGGTCAGATTCAGCAGAAGTTCGGGTTGACGACATCTGACTTTCATTGATTTTTGCAGGTGCTAAGTTACCTGACGTCCCACATTGAATGGTCTCTTCTTGAATCACGACCTGCTGATTTCATAAAGACCACGAAAGAAAAGCAGTCGGATAAAACTGTGTCAAATCTGGATAAACGATGATCGAGAGCAAGTGTGTGAAAATGGACACAAACTGACTGACAGTGCAACATGGAACGAATTTTGTTGGAAACTTAATAGTTGGATATTTGAAAACACCATGTGTCATTTCAAATTTTGATGAGACCAAATCAACTTTGTGCTGGAGACGATGTTGGGGATCACGCTCATGTCTTTTGGGATGGTCCAAAGACATTTCTGGCTGACATTATTGTTCTTCAGCAGCCCTGCCAGAGTCCTGACTTGCATCTAGTGGAAAACCTCAACAGGGAGCCAAAGATTAGGGTGATGGAAAGGAAGCCTCCTCCTCCCAGTGACTCGCTGCTCATCTCCAAAGATAAACGACAGTTGGTTATCCATCAAGCTGTTTAGTTTGAAAACTTTTGATTGGTTTTCTTATTCGTTTTTTTTCTTTTTTTTCTCATAGTATATGAAATAATATCCTGCTTGCTTCAAGGATATGCTTATGACATTAGACACATCGCAGGGAGAGAGAGAAAGAGAGTTCTGGCCATTTTCAATACACTTAATTCAGGTTTGCTTACTGTGCAAACAGCGAAGGAAATGCTTAGCAAGAAATCCCAAGATGTCTTCCTGGCAAGAAAGTTGTAATATTTTAGATAGATTTTGGATACCATTACTTGACCTGAATTGCTTGTTCGGAGCAATTCCATTGGTTTATGGCTTTGCTAATAGGATGTTTGTGCTAAGTTAGGCTAACAATGTTCTGGGAGGCCCTCTGCAGAAAGACGAGACTGCTCTTGGAAAGCCACTCCTTCATGCCACTCTTTGTTTCTGTCGGCCTGTTTGGAAATAAATCCTACAGTTTAGCAGGTTTTGACTTTTATTTTTCTCAGCGTCGAGCATTTGTGGTGCATTTTTGCAGTTTTGAAGTGTGGATTATTCTCTGTCATCGTAGCTTGAAGGAGTAGAAAAAAAAAATGTTTTTTTTTTTTTTTTTTCGAATGCGTCTGCACTAGCTGCGACAGACAGGGACCTGGCACACCCGCATTTTTTCCACTCTTGTTCCTTCTGTCTCTTGCTATTCCCTCATTTACTCCATCGTTCAGAGGCTTACAAACACACACATCACACACACGCGCATGCGCGCAAACACAAACCAACACTCACGCGCACACATGCGCACATGCTTGGCTGGCATGCACTAATGGAAAGCTAAGGTCTGGCAGGACTCATCCCGCCACTTTCGACAGTAATTGGCCGTTTGCTGTCAGACGGACAGAACCACACACACACACACACATGCATGCGGACACGCAGTCAGACAAACAACACGCACGCTCTGGCAACCTGATTTGTGGCTATCATTTATCTCTCAGGGCTTTGTGTCCTCGTGCAGCCTTTTATCAGCTGCTGCTTTGCATCACGGTAACAGAAGCAGGGAAAAACAGCACCCTTTGTCTTACCTGCCTGCCATTTTTGTTGCATTTGACAGCGTCCTGTGTGTAATTGCAGCATCTTTCTGCATTAGGACTGAAGTGATGGGCTTTTGGGGGGAAGGAGGGGATCTGTGCGCCTGTGCGGAGTGGTCAAGGATCAAACTCAGACTTCCCAATTAGGAGTAATCCATTTATTCCACAGTAGAGCCGCTCGGAGGTCTGATGAGAAACAGAGGGAAGTAGAGAAAGCGAAAACAGAGGGATGTTGAAAGTGTAATTGAAGTAGATGTGGATGTTTTAGAGCTGCATTTATAGGCTCTGTCTGTGTGTCTGTGTGTGTGTGTGTGTGTGTGTGTGTGTGTGTGTGTGTGTGTGTGTGTGTGTGTGTGTGTGTGTGTGTGTGTGTGTGTGTGTGTGTGTGTGTGTGTGCGTGTGCAAGGTTTGCAGGTATCTATTTAAAAGTGTTGCGTTGCTTTAAACCGGCTGACTCGAGTATCTTTTTCTCATCTTGTCTGCTAGTTTACATGCTGTGTGTGTCTGTAGTTCTTTTCCAGCGTATTGATTTATTTGCTGTGGAGTCATTACAGCACTCTGCTAGACCAGCCGGTTCTGTGTTACAGGGAAACCTTGCCTGCTTTTGTCCAGGAAAGGCTACAAGCCTAGATCTTGTTTCTTCAATGCAATCGGACAGTGTGGTAGTGCAAATGGTTTAAAACAAAAAACAGTATCCAGTCCTATCCGGTTCTGTTTCCCAGTAAAAGAAACGCTCACATATTTCTAACACGTGCGATTTTCAGAAGTGGGAAAAGTCCCTTTTGTCAGTCCTTTTCG